AATGTCACGTCATGGCATCAGGTACCTTTAAACACACAAAACCTTAATCATGTGCGATAAAACGGAAGTCTTGAAGCCATGAAAACGGCCAAAAATCGTAGAGGGGTCAAAATGACCCCTCCGGTCCTTCTAGGTATACGAAAATCCCGGTCCTTCTAGTGTTAAAGTTTCTTATATATTCTTTATGTTTAGTCAAAATGTTTTTAAAGTATCATCTGCTAAAAAACAAGCTACTTATGAACTATTTTGTGTTGTTGTTTTACCAAGTACTGGTCTTGCACTGTCATGACACATCACTTTTATATTAGCAAAATGATAAGAACGTTTCCCTTTCCTCTTTTTATTTCATTTTTCCTAGCATTCATACCGCTGAGAGGGGTGGCGATAAATAGTTTAATTGTCTACGCGCTCAGGGATTTTTGAGATCGAATGTCCTATTGCTCAGGTTCAGGCGGATCACTAGCTCACTAGAGACGACTAGAGGTGGACTAGTCCGGGCCTGCGGTATACAACGGCCGTTAAAGCTTGTCGCGCAGCAGGCTGATTACCTTCCACAGCTTGCTCATGGCCTTCCCCGCTGTGGCGAGGCTGAGCCGCCCCACTCCCCTGCAGCGCAGGGCGGGGGTGGCGCTGGCGGTCATCATGACGAGGGCGAGCGCGCGGGCCTCCGGTAGGCTCACGCTACCGCCGGTGGCAGCGTGGTAGGCGGACCTTGCCAAAGAGGCGCTCGAGTCGGAGAGCTCCTGGCTGAGGTACGAGAACTGGAGGAAGTCGTTGAGGATGGGAAGCAGGAAAATAGCCGTCGTGAAGTTCACGTCGCCACAAATCACCTGAGTATTAACAAAGGGTACATTACGTCCCAGCCCCAGCTTCCATGGAACTGTCATAGACTCGTTCAAAACGGAATTTCTCGTTTTGAATTTCATTTTAACACACAATTAAACAACAACCTGTCTCTGATCCTGAATCATTACTGCACTTCTTAAGCCATATTTACACATTCATTCATATTTCTAAAATTGATTCTCGTAGTCCTTTTTACCACATTTTATAAATTGTGTCTTTGTGCGTGCCATGAAAGTCACGTACCACCCGTCGTGTCGGCGGCGTGGGCCGAGGCTTAGATTTTTTTTTTTTTTTACATCGGATTGCGATCGGCTTGCGCACCAGGTCGGGCGGCTGGAGAAAAAAAAATCACAACATTCTCCAGGTGTTGCTGGGCAACCTACGCTGATGAAGGCGAAGATTGTGGTGAGGAAGGAGGCGATCTGTATGTGCGCCAGCTTGGCCGAGAAGTAGCGGGTCAGGCCGTGGGTGACGAGGCGCAGCCGCTGATGCTTGGCGACCACGTCCTGCACCACGTCCAGCGTCCTGCCGGGGGCGTCCGTCACCCTGAGCCGCTGTGCCAGGGCGTGGTGCAGCCCGGCGGGAACGGCGAGCGACAGGATCAGGGCGATGATGACGCACACGGAGGTTGGGATCCACACGAGCATACAGGCGCCGTAGAAGAGCCGGCCGAAGAGCGCGCCCCAGGCACCAGCGTAAGGCACGAACGGCCACAGTGGCACGAAAGGCTCCTCGGAGAACAGCGTGTCCTGGCACATGTGGACGTAGAAGACAACGACGTAGGTTGTGCTGATCGCGGACAGCACAACGCTGGTCCGTCTCGTGTGTACCACCCACGGCTGTGTGTTGAATTTTTTATTTTTTAGAGAATGTAACACTGCAGGGTTTAACGAATGACGAATTTTCTTTAAAGTTTTACTTAACGTTAAGGTACCGTCTTGTTGTTGGTAGTAAGTTGTTTTTGTTTTCAGACTGACCCCAATAAGACCTCGAATAAGACTGTCTCTACTAGAAGCAGAAAACGCTTGCTTATGCTGTATCGCATGCTGGCGAGCGGGCGGGCTTGCCTACCCTCGCTCAACGCGGCGCCTTATGGCCCCGTGCAAGTATGCAACCCAGCCGCACGCCTGCGTCCGATACAGTATTTAGTGGAAGGTAAGATTGCTCACGAAAGTCCAAAGGTGCTTTACTTCCGCACTTTGGTGCCTTTGCAATGGCCTCGACAACAAGCACCAAGGCGCCAAGCACCAGTGACCACTGAAGAGCTTTAAAATAGCATCTTTGATGGGAAAAATTGTGGGATCAACTCACCTTTTCTCCCGGATCAGCCTTTATCGCCTGGACCAGGCTCCTTAACTCGCGCATCAGGACCCAGAGCCGCGGGTGGCGGCCCACAAGTACACACTGCAGCATGGAGTAGCCGAAAAAAAAGTTGTTGATGGACTGCAGGATCGCCTGGACTGAGGTGGCTGACTGCCGCACCGTGTCCGCGCACACAAACGCGAGGAACAATATCGTGAAAGACAGAGGCAGCTGGAAGTATGAGAACAAAAAAAAGTATGTTTCTTCAAAAAAACAAAGTAGAAACACTTTTTGTAGGTTTACACATGAAATTTTCCGAATTTCTGGGGCATTGTGCGTGTAATCCCTGTAGTCACGTAATTGCACTCACACAATGCAACTCAGTAGGCACCATGTGTGAGAATACAGGGGGCCAGGTTTCACGCAATTTTAGCCGTCATAACTTTTGCGACTGATAGTACTTCTAGCTTTTCCGTTCGCGTTTGGAGAAAGAGAGTTCACGCACCCTGCTCCGCATGACGAGCAACACAAATCGCTGCAGTTGACTTTCTTCAAGGCTCAGCCAGGACAGGGAGAAGGTGAGCTGCATGTCGCAGGCAAAGAGGCACAACGGCTCAGGGCGGGCCTGGAGGGCGGGCCTGGAGGGCGGGCCGAGGAATAAGATCGAAGAGGCATCCCACACCAACACGCTAGGCTAGTGTATTATTCGTTACCTAATTGCCAAAACGGCCCTCTGCTTGTGTGGTGCTGAAGAATCGCAACAGCACGCCCGGATCAGAATGTAACGAGATTGGGTGCACTCCACATGGGGAGGGACAATGTTTTGCTAAGTTCGATGTATCTCTGTGCACATCTTCATCAGAGACGTTAGTGTTAGTGCGTAGGTACACATTGTAACTAGGAGGTAGAAGGTAAAAATTATTTACATTGTATGTAACATTGATACAAATTTGTATCTGTTTTAGATGTGACAAGGACACAGCCTGCGTACAAAGTTCGTTTACAATTAACGTTTCCTGGGTAGAGACGTGTGAAAGCGCCTGCGAAGCGTTGGCTAGGCCGACCCGCCAGGCAGCTGTGTGGAGACGGCTGCCCCCTGGGCAGAGATGGACTAATCCGCGCCGGCAGTGATGATGAGATCGAAGTCGTTACTGTCCCTCACATTACCGAGGGGGCCACAACTTCGATTTAGGATGTACACAAGATTACGTAATTACAGGGAATACACGTGAATTTTCAGCTATTACACATGAATTTTGTTGAATTTCTGGCTAGGAAAATCACCGCTTTTACGCCTCGGATGTGGGCAACCCAATCGGCGTCAGCAACGCCCCCAGCGGTGGCCGTTGCAAGCAGGCGCACAACAAAACACGCTACAGCACCACAGCAAACGCAAACTACAGTAGGCGCTCGCTATAGTTCCGCCTCCGGTTCAGAATTGGAGTGGGTGAGTGGGGTCGCCAGAGGCGGAACTATAGCGAGCGTCTTCCCCCACTCCTTCTCTGCCGCTCTTGCTCACACTGCTGGCCGGCTGGCAGCCCGGGGGGAAGGTGGTGGGGAGGAGGAAGAGAGAGGGGCCGCTTCTCGCTCGGAGTGGGGGAACCAGGCCTGGCGGGGAGGGAGCGCCGGCGGAACTATGGAGAGCGGAACTATAGCGAGCCCTCACTGTAAACGCTTTCGGACGGACTAGACGAAGAAACGTCTTAAACGCCTTTATTCCCCATTTCTAAACATTTATACTCTATAGTTTTTACTAATATTAAGGATCAAATATCAAGGAACCCGATTATCCAAAAATATCGGTACTTTCTATTATTTTAGGAAAAGTTCGTATAACCTATGTTTTTGAGAATGTGTCCAGAATACCGATATTTTGACAAAACATGTCCCTATTTCTTTCCTATCTTTCCGAAAATATATAGCCCAGGACACGAAGGTTTTATTGCTAAATAAAATTGTGCAAAGCTGAATTTTGGTACACTGGTAGAATGGCTCCTCCCCATTCACCTAAATTTTAGTCCCCAGCCGGGAGAGGTGTGCGATTTGAGATATTGAACAAAAAGGGCCTAAATGCAGGGGTTTGCGGTACTGGTTGT